GTTTTCCAGCCATGCACGCAGACAGATAGAGAAAGTCTACTTCCATCGATGGGATGAGAGAGAGAGAGAGAGACAACCTCCTGATCACTAACAGTCTGCCACAGTCATGTTTTTTTTTAGTTTATAGCGAATATGACGACAAAAAAAAAAATTCATAAAAAAAACCTGCAGTGTAACAACAACAGCCTCGCCCCCCTGTTCGTCCCTCTCCTCTGCCGCAGCGTGGCTGCGGCGGGTCCACTTGTTAAAATAAAAAAAGAAGTCAAAAAATAAAACTAAAAATATACGGTTGTAGAGCGCACAAACATGTACAACCCCATATATATATTTGTTTTTAACCTATTATCCTAGGATTTAAAAATATCGGAGTTTTTCGACCGCACTTGGGCGCGGGCGGTCGCCCGCTGCGGTCAGGATGCCGACCGCGTGCGGTCAAATGGCCCGCGGTCACGACCGCGGGTGATACATAGCTCTACCATGTCAATGTCGCCGTGCCTACCTAGTCTAGTGTCGCATCCTCTCACAGTCCCGATGACAGTCACTCGATGCTCGCCTAGATAGACCTCAAATCAAAAGTTATCTCCATCATCAGGGTGTGGACATTGATCGGCATAGCTCACCACACTCGATCCCTAAGTACTGCGTTGAGGATCGGTCCCCAGTATTTCCCATCACAGAAGGTAGCGGGCACAGGAGGGCTTGAGAATCTCTCAAACTCTCTATGTCACTTTCTTTCCTTGTTGTTTCAAAAACAACCTTTCATCTATGATGTATTCAGCACCAACTACCCAACACGCCTCATAATCAATCCCTGTCCTCGTTTCAGCAGGTACATATGGTCTCACATCATATTCATTTGTATCAAGTACTCGACTCCAAGGACATATAGGGTTACAAAATAATGCTCGCAAGTCACGCATTGCTCGATGATATATGAGAAAGCACCGCCAGTCATGATCCTGGTCAACGCCTTTATCGCTCTAGTTACTGTCGACATGGGATGACTAACAATTTTGCCTCCGCAGCGCTGCATTGATGATTGGTTGCCAATTCCTACCATCACGGAATCCTTTGGGTACTGGCGGAGTAGGAATCCTTTCGTAGATTCTAGGCAATAAGCTCCAACCCGCCTCTAACTCTTGTTGTCTCAACTGATCCCTCTCTTCTTTGATACACCTCACTATGATATCCCAGTTGGTAAAGAAACTTGGATCTTGATCGGCTCCTTCTAGGACTTAGGGTCGAATATCATAGTCATCAGTATCAAGGAATCTAAAGACAAACACATGCACAGTCGTTGCATTTTTTACACAAGTAATACATTTGACAAACATATAGGGAAAGGCACGACCATATGTGACACGAGTTAGGGATTCTAAAACATTATACTATTCAGTCATCGTCTAGTTTCTGACTTATAGACTTATCAAGCTGAGGGCCCAGAAGACGAGTTTCAAACCCTTGCTTGGAAATCCGAGTCACTTCAGATAGACTCCTCACGAGGCTCCTCCTCACGGGGCTCATCTAGTCGGAAGTCTTTCTGACCTGAGTCAGGCCTTGTATGAATTATGCTAGACTGTTGCCTAGCCACTGAATATTGTGACCAAGGTCCGTTCCTAGGAACTGAAGATTTTTGAGTCCCCGACAACGGTGCCATTTTTGTCGCCCCCCACCACTTTCGAAGGCCAGGTTCGATGTCCCTCCACGGGCCGAGTGCAGTGGGTTGGTGGACTGGGAGACTGTCACGTAGGATTTTGGTAAGTATATAGGAAATTAAATAAAGCTGCATTTAAAAACAACTTTTGTCAGACTTAGTGACACAGTCGAGTAGTCAGGAACATCCCTCCTATCAGCGGAGACATGACTTGGAGTGAGGCGTTCGGTTTTATCGTCAACACCTGACCTCGTAGAAAGGTTAAATTCAAGGTCACTTGAGTCCCTATTATCCAGGAGTCCTTCAAGTAGCCTTGAGTGCAAGCTGTGTAATGTAAAGAGGAAATGACATATTACATGCATCATAGAATAAGTGGCACTTAAAAAACAAAAAGACCAGAAACTAGACTCTGCAAGAGCATGACCAGAGACACAAGATTGAAGATATAGTACACAAAGTCTGCAGGGAGCAACCATTGGAGGGCTGTTGTCACTGATAAATCATAGTAATATCATAATACATCACTTTGACTAGAAGGAGAGAGTCTCAATCGATAATGATAAGTGGTACCCCCTCGTGAGTAGGCCCTACTGTTCGGGACTCCATATCAGGTACACGCCGGTCCTCCTCATCATTAAGAACCCTGGTTGCTATCGACTCTCGGACAACATAGCTGATATCCAGCGGTGCTGCATGATCGATTTTGCCGATATATGCCATGCATCTAGCCATCTCCTCGTCTGCAACACTCCTTAGGTAAAGCTCCTCCGGAAGGGTAATATCGTCCGTAGCTCCGATCAATATCTCGATCCGTCCTCTTCTGTCGAATTAGACGTACGAAACCTCCACAAAATAGTCTTCATAAAGGGGCTTTCGAAAAGCCTGCATAGCAAGATCTGCCCAGTCTAAATGGTTGTAGTCATCGCCAAGGTATGAGACTGGACATTCCCCTTTTGGCGGTCCGACAATCGACTCAGCCTTAGGCTCGCCTGACATATAGAAGTTAATCACCCTTCCGCAGATACCGTACTAGAAGATATGCAATCCTCCTCAATGTCGCTTTCCGCCGCTGCTGCTTACCAGTCTTCAGCGCTCAGCTACCACCAATAGACTCAGTCCCTATGAGTGTCCCAGTCGAAGTAGTCGCTGAGATCGATATCGCTCTCGCTACAAGGGTCAAGGTCAGACTCATCTGTCTCTGACCGCTGCATGCAAGTAATGATTGGGATCCCAGATATTGGTATCTCCCTCCTGATCCGCTCGTCCTTCTGTTTCTTCCCTTTGTGGCGTTCCTCGCTGAGGGGTTTGGGATCACACCCATCAAAGTCGAAGAGTACGCCCCCGGGCGTTGAAGGTACGTGAGGGAGCACCACATGCAGCCAGGTATCCCTCCAATAGCTCTCCCTGCGAAATATGTAGTATGCGATCCTGTCGTAAGTGGTGCCCTTCGCTCCATCTTTCCCTGCCCCCTTTACTGAGTAGGTAATCACCAACATGTGTCTTGAGCTAGGGAACTCATTGGCCCTGATGAAAAAGCTTTGACGCCCCACATGTCAGTAGCAGAACTTCTCAACTAGTTTGCCCCGCGTAGGGGCTGTTTCATGATGACGGGCCAGCTTGGACAATTGTTGCACCCCTGCGAGTGTAAATGCTCCCTCCAATACTTGGACCCGACTAAACAACAATAAAAAACTCAGTGAAAAAGGCCCGCCTTAATGGGCCTGGCTTGACAACAAACAGTCTCTCAATGTAGGGGCCCGCCCGAATGGGCCCCACTGATCAACAAACTGCAACTCAATGTAGGGGCCCGCCTGAATGGGTCCGACCTTATCAGGAAACTGCAACTCAATATACGCCCGCCTTAATGGGCCCGGCTGAATCAGCAAACTGCAACTCAATATAGGCCCGTCTGAATGGGCGCGGCTGAACAACAACAAACTCAAGGGATGGGCCCGCCTGAAAGGACCCGACTGAATACCAGCAACAACTGAATGCAACCAATACTATGAATGTGTCTCCACAGCAAGTGGGTCAAAATATGAGGACAGGGACTGCCAATATCATCACAGCGGAGGACTGCTCAGCAAGGCATCACATACACAGGGACCAGTCATAAAATGTCGTATGCACTGCGGCGAGACTGCGCAAAAATTATCTGCGTAGGGACTGAACCGCAAATATCACCTGTGCAGGAAAAATACCGTCTGCACATGGATTAAACAACAAGTACCGTCTGGACAAGGAATGGACTGCAATTACTGCCTGTGCAAGGACTGATCAACAAGGGATCAAATCAGCGGGATGGGATGCCAAAACATTTCACCATTGACTCTCAATTGTGAATCTCATAGAGCACACAGTTCCAACTTGATCGTACGAGCAGTGCACTTGCTTTGGGGTCATTCTTCTCAACAGGGCGCGCACTCTCAAGTCAAGGCACGCATCATATCAACAACACCGAGCATGGGTGCACGCTAGATCATCATTGCCGAGCCTGGGTGCGCAATAAATCTGCGATACAAAACGTGGGCACACGCTAAAACATCGAATTCAGGCTTGGGCACACACTAAATCATCACGTTCGGGCCTGGATGCACACTCAAACAACAATGCTTAGCCTGGGCGTGCACCAGGACATCAATGTCGGGTCCGAGCGCGCACTAAATCAGTAGTTCTAAGCATGGGCGCGCACTGGGGCAGCAATGCCTAGCATGGGGGCGCACTCAGATAACAGTATCGAGCTTGGGCGCGCATGGGCGTGGACTCAAATAGCCATGCCGAGCTCGAACTCACATGGGTGCACACTCAGATAGTAATACTGGGTCTGGGCGCGCATAGGCACATATTCAAATAGTCATACAGAGCATGGGTGTGGATGCGTGCGAACTCAAATAGCCGCACTGAGCTTGGGCGTGCTTGGGCGCACACTCAAATAGCAATACCGAGCATAGGAGCGCAGTAAAACAACAAAACGGGGACTGGGCGCACGCTAAATCGGCAACACTTGCCATATGCGCTCGTATCAAATATTGGTAATATCGGTAAAGTGCGCATTGGCGCTTAGTGTCAATCTGATAGTGTGCATAACACAGGGATACAGTCTCAAAATATGCAAAAATCCTAGATGGAATGCGCACTAGCGCATAGTCTCAATTCTGCAAAAAAACTTGATGGAATGCGCACTCACACACAAACAGAACTTTCAAATCAGCAAATGTCCTTGATGGAATGCGAACTTGGC